GGAGTATAATATGATTATATACAAATATATACATATAAATGGTTACTGCAGTCCAGATAATTAATGTCTCTCCTCACACATTTTACCTCTTTATTTTGTAGCAAGGACACCTGCATTCTACTCTTAGCAAACAAAGTTGCAGGTATTTAGCAATGTTCTTACTGTGCCTGATTTATAAAGTTGTTGTGCAGATTAGATGAGCTTATACAAAGTCCCTAGAAGACACATGATAGTTTGTCACTGTTCTTTTTACTACCTTGCAGTAGTTCCCAGTCTCCTTCCTGGTAAACATGCATCAACTGACACACTCGGATCCCTCCTACTTCTCTGACCTCATGCCGTCACTCCACCCATTCAGCCGTTTAGGCAAATAGTCTTCTTGGTCTTCCTCAAAAACTCCAAGCACAAGCCTGCCCCAGGTCCTCTGCAAGTGAAGTTCCCTCTGCCTGCAACATGCTTTCTCCCCATAGTCTGCTTGGCATCCTCCCTCCCCTTGTCCAGATGTTTACTCAAATGTACCAGTGGAAGCTTTTGTTGAACACCATATTTTAAACTGAGTTGAAGATGTTCTATGGAAAAAAAGAGAAGAAAAATCTTTCTAGTTCTAACTGTATTTTTTTCCCCATCAGGAAGTCTCTATTTGCTGTTATGATTTATTCCACCGTATCTCATCTAAGCATTGAAGTCAGTAGCATAATTAATAGCAAACACTGACCTCTTATCCCATTTCCTCCTTCTTGGCTGGGCAGTGGTTCTAACCCAGAGCTCTGTGTCTCTGGCTGACTCAACCAAGGTCAATACCTCAACACTCTCCCAAGTAAGAGGTAAAACCTCGTGTGTGTGTGTGTGTGTGTGTGTGTGTGTTTCTGTGTCTGTATGTACGGGAGGATTCATACATTCCCAGAATAAGATCTTAAAAGTGCTTTGAAAGAAGTACAGTTTTGAAATGAGTAGTGTCTGTTTATGGATTCATACCTATAAAACTGCTTGCTCTGGGACTTCACATTCTAAAATTTAAATTTCAAAGTTTAAAATGCATGTGAAATGTGAAATTATTTCTAAAAATAATATATATTCATGTACATTAAAGCTAATTTTAAAAACTTTTATGTTGAGTAACTGAACATTAAAAATTACATAAGCTGAATAATTATTATTGGTAAAACTGTATATAATTTTATCAGCCATAGGCATATCTGTCTCTAATAGAGTCACTGATATTTTCCTGAATGTATTTATTTGCTTCAAATGATGTCACTGTTTTTCATTTTTCTGTAAAATTGTCACAATTATATCGAAATTTGCATTTTGGATTACTAAGGTTTAAATTGTTGACACCTTCAACTGACTTTTCCATGGAGAGCAACAGTTAACCAAAATGTAGTCCAAGAACTTCTGGCGGGCATCTCAAAATTCTTTCCCAGGTTTCGTGAAATCAAATCCACTTTTATATATAATAATAGGCTGTCATTTCCTTTTTTGGTTCTCAATCTCTCATGAATGCATAGTTGAGTCTTTCGTAGGCTTCTTGACATTATATCACAACAGACTGGATGCAGAAGCAAATATGAGACTCCAGCTGTCTTCTATAAATCAGGTACTTAATAAAAATTGAAAAATGTAAAAAAAAAAAAAAGGCCCCTCTTTTCCCGAAAAAGTTTCCCTATAGAAATATGCAAATTTTAGCCAAATTATTTATGGTAACATGTAATGGTTTTATTATTATTTTAAGTAAATTAATAAATAATTGTTTTGCTTCAATTTCTAATGTAGTAAATATCAATATATATCACCTAATAAATAAAAGTCATTCTTGGTGCTTAGTAATATACCCAGTAGACATCAAAACTCTGCTAAATGAAAGACACGTTCATTTATATTTTTATATTGCAGTGTGAACATATTTAAGCCCAAATAGTCTTATAGGTATAGTCTTTCCCTTTCTTAATAGTATTTTGTTTGACAAATATTTTTATAAGACGAAACTTACCAAACAAGTGGTTTCTATGACTCTTTTAATTACTTCAGTGATTTTAGATGCTGAAAAATTCTGTGTCATCTCAATTTCAATCCTTTGTGTAAAAAATATAAATTTCCCAAATTAAAATAGAAGTCCTTAAAAATATGCTCTCCACAATTTGAGATAGAACAAAACACAATTATAGAATTTAAAAATTGGAACACTATGCACAGTTTGAGCTTTCTTTCTCGTATGGCTTTTATGTTTTGGTAGGATACGTTCAAATACTTTTTTTGGTCAAGCTTTGTTGTCATTTGCAATTCTACTAGAATTTTTAAAAGTGGACATTTTTTTGGTACTCCAGTAATTGAATAGTTTGATCACAAATTCTAAACTGATTTTGAACAAAATGCAACCAAAATTTATGTAACTCATTTACAAAATTTATTCCATATCAGGGAAGGAAATGGAGATTTATGCAAAATTAGTTCTTTAAGAGCTGAAATATTTCTGAGTTCTGACTGATGATGGGCAGCAGAAAGACAAAGGACACACTACAGCATGCTGAATTATTTTTATTCAGTATCAGCTACATTACAAATATTTTTAAATTCAGTTACCCTTTGAATATGTAGTGCTTTTGACAACTGTAGATTGTACTTGAGTTAGTAGAATGTAGCAGCTTGTTTTGATGCTCTTATAATTTATGTGTCTAACACAGCAACTTGCAAATATGTTTCTGATCCTTACTTTCTTTATATAGTAAGAATATTTTTCCATGGTACTGTGCTCCATCAAAAATTGTGCTTTTATTAGCATCACAGAAACAAGCCATTTTATCTGCAGTGCTTATCTTTTAAACTGAATTTCTGACGGCATTCAAAGTATTGCCAGATATTTCACTTTCAGTGGAAAGAACTTCCAAAAGTTTATTCCACGAAGTGGAATGATTCTGCTGTGAACTACATCATTTAACTATTGCAATTAAGCTATTTAGCACTACCACTTTATTTTTCTTGTTTACACAAGACAACCTGAAATGAAAATGGACAAAATTAATATAGAACACAGTTACTGGACTGAAATGAGAAGTCATGCACCTTCTGCATCTGTAAGTGTATTGCATTACTATCTCAGGCATAGTTGTTCTTAATGACTAACCTGGAAAGCAGATGGTGACTTCTTCAGAAGATTTGTGTCACCAAGTTTTCATGTGGGCAGTGATACAACTGACTGTCATGTTGGATGGTAAATGTCCCAAAAAGATTGTATAAGTAAGTTCATATTATATATCAATTTCTGTAGAAATAGAAGCTCAGTAACTTTTCACTGAACATGCACTTCTATTTTTTAGGTCATTGCTGCTGAAATAGTGCATTTACAAAATAAAAAAGCATTACAATATAATTAAATGCATACATAGTACAGATTTGTCCCATTCACAAATGACCAAACCACTGCAGTAAAAGAGTTCAAATTATTCTCTCACATTTATCGGCAAGACTGCTTGACCTCTGTTTACTGAACATATTCCACATACACCAAACTTACTCATTTTCCGCTTTTCCCCCTGATGCGGCTGACAGACTGGTACACCAGACACCAGACAGCATCAAACACATCCCCTAAATCACCTGGGACCAGAGAAACGTTACCCATCCCTAGGCACTCATGTCAAAATATTCAGTGCTTTGTTAGCGAGGGTCCTGCACGCTACCATTGAAAGAACAGCTAATTGGTTGTATTGTGTCTGAAAGGTTAGCACAGGAGAGAAGAACTGTTTTCTTTCGTATTTAACCACCTGTTGAAGTGAAAACTGTTAACTGCACATTTGTTTCGCACTTTGCTAGATGAGATCACAGGCAAAAGTTGAAGCACAAAATGAAGAGCTATCAAAACCATCCCAGCTCCTTTAATACAGTGTTGCTTTTGTTTTTTAAAACGAGAAAGATATTTTGTTCTTTCTCACGCAGATAAAAATGATTTTCAAAGGTGGACAGGCAGTCCGGAGCAAGTGGGAGGCTCTGGCTGTGAGATTACTAGGGGGCACAGGTTGCATCCGACTGGCCGCCCTGCCATCTCTGAGGGTGTCGCCTGCGTCTCGTGGTTGAAGCTGGCTGTCAGCCACCACCCACACCTGAGCCTGCAGGAAGGGGAAGAAAGAAAAGTGCAGGACAAGCCATTCCCTTTCAAGGAGGTAATACCAAAGCTCTGCACCTCTTTTCTGCCTATATTCCTTTGAAAGAATATAGCCATGAACAGCCTTAAGCTGCAAGGAAGAGTAAGAAGGACAGGCCGGGAG